GCTTATTTTGGGTTAGAACTTACATTACAAGCATCCTGAAAAATCATATTGGGGCTTATTTTTGGGGAAACAGGGTATATATGATCTATTTATATTATGTTTACAGTCATGCCCCACTTTACGATTGCCCCGCATTATGACAAAACCGCATTACGACGACGTTTTTGCGATCGCTTTTGCGATCACAAAACGATGATCTGAATAGGGGTTTTTCACTTTGCGATTATCAGTTCCCTGCTTCGGGAACCAATTCTTCGCAAAATGATGATTTTAGAACAGCTGATCGGCGGTTTCAAAATGGCCGCCGGGTAAATAAAATGGTTCCCCGCTGTTTTCTGGGATGGATTCCTCGCTGCACAGGCAGCGAAAATGGCCACCCTATGGAGGATCTTCGTACAGCTATTTCACTGGAATGAATTAACATCGTAATGCGAGGCACCACTGTAGATGTATACGTGTTCATTATATATGTGACTATATGAGTACACACACATACAAACATATTTGTATAGTTTGTTATTTAGATTATATTTTATTAATCATTCATATCTGTGCCTTATGCTTTCTGGTAATAATGTTGCAGCTGCAGTCGTCTTGTATTATTCTTACAACAACCCTATGAGGTAGGTTAGACTGAAAGACAGCGTTAGGGATCCCAAGAACTATAAACTGAAGAAAGCTTACGGAAGGCGCTTTCAGCCTTGTCTCTTTCTGCTTGCTGCACCCCCCGCCCCCAAAAAAAACACCACCTCTGCAAGCTTGGGTGATCCTCCTGAATTCTGTGGCCTGAGTTATAGGCAGAAGAGCTCTGGGAAAGGGAAATTATCCCAAACTGGGCAGAAGCACTTTGTGTAAGAGGCTGTACAACCCTCTCCTGAGCAGTTTGATAGCGGAAAAAACATGGAGACATAGGAACCCTTACGGCCCAGGGGTGGGCAATTAATTTCTATAGGGGAACCACATGAAAAATCTGAACTATGTTCGGGGTCTGAACCAACTTTACTTAAAAAGGAAATGAAACAGTGATGTTATGATTGTTTTTATTTTAAACTTGTTAATCTTCACAAATACTAAAGAGGTTTTTTTTGCGGTATGTTAAAGATAAGCAACTGACCAACTTTAGACAAAAAGCTATAAATGGTTTTGATGTTCAAAATTGTCCGCGGGCCGGACAGGAGTGGATCGTGGGCCTTATGTGGCCCTCGGGCCAAACTTTGCCCAGGTCTGCTTTACACAGATAGATGGGGACAGACACATGCTTTTTCCTTGAAGGAAGTATCGGGGAAGGAGCTTGTAATTGCATAGAGGGATATGTTTTTTGTATGTCATCTGAGTGGCTTGCAGCTATTTGAAACAGGGCAGTGAAGGATTCCTTTTCTTTTCTTCCTACTTGAGCTCCTCCAATCTTGGAAGGATTGAGGCCTAATGACTTCTTTCCTGCTTCTTTCTCACCTGAGGTAATCTCCCCTGAAAAAACAAATAGAGCAAATCCCCTATTTGGATTCTCTTAGAGCTCTAGAAGAGTGTTGACAAACCGAAGCTTGGTGGAGAATGAGAGCCATAACCTGCCTCCTCTTCTCTGTAGCCACCCTCAGGCTCTGGAATGCCAAACCAAGAGATGCTAGGTCCCCTCCACACACATATCCCTTGTCGTCCTCCAGAAGGCAAAGGTATTTAGGCAAACCATTAACAATTATCAGCTTTCAAACCACAGGGTTTTAGCTAATATGCTGGTTTCCTCTTTTTTCGGTAGACTGTTATTAGCATTTGAATTAAGGGATTTTGAAGTATTTTTAATTTTAATTGTATTTCAGTAATATAGCTGTGTGGGCATAACTCAAATGTTAAGTCCATGATAGCTGCAATGACAGCAGGATGGAAGTGGTATTCACAAAGTATGGTCTACATTTCCTAGATGTAGTACCTGGCAGAGCTACATCTGCCTAACTTTATGTTTCGTGATGACAAAAAGGATTCCAAACAATGAGTTTAATTCTGTTTTGATATTTGGGACTTACTGCATTTTAATTCTATTATTTTTAAGTAAATGGAAGATGCCCTGAGTCCCAATGCTGGGAGAAGACAGCTTCAACAAACGATGGATGGATGGATGGATGGATGGATGGATGGATGGATGGATGGATGGATGGATGGATGGATGGATGGATGGATGGATGGATGGATGGATGGATGGATGGATGGATGGATGGATGGATGGACGGATGGACGGATGCATGCATGCATGCATGCATGCATGCATGGATGCATGGATGCATGCATGGATGGATGCATGGATGGATGCATGGATGGATGCATGGATGTCCTTGAGTTTGGGAAAGATTTAAAAAAAATCAAAGGGCTTCCCAGGATCTAAAACCACTGGGAACTTTCACCTCTGTGCATGTTTACATGGTATCATCATTCCCCATCATTGGCCACAGTGGATGGCTCTGTTTTTTTGTATTCAAAAATATCTGAAGACCCCAAGGCTGGGAAGAGTAGTGTAGTGAATGCTTTGGTTCCGAAGTGCCACTTTATGCATTGTGTCAAGTAGTTGCAGTTCTAGCAAGCATGACCAAGTAGATGGGAAGTAAAATATCTGAAGGGTTGGACATTAGGAAATGTAGAATACACTATGGTGTAGCATCAGTAGTACATTCCTCTCATCAGATAATGTAACTGCAATTGAAATGCATGCCCACTCCAGTAACACCGGTGATTGTTAATTGTATCAGTGTTGTATCATCCTGTGTAACATGTCAGTAGATGTCGCCTTGGTCTTTATTGCACTTCCTCTTCTTCTTTGATTTGGTTGGCATCACTGTGGAAACTAGAGATGGAGTAAAGTCACACTCATTACTAAAAGCAGCAGGAAAAGGAAGGCTCTGGCAGAGGTGCCATGCCACCACCTATTTAAACTTTCTGTAATGTGAAATTGACTTACAGCTGATGTCCAAAGCTGCAGAAGGGAACAAAGCTTCCTGATCCACATTTGAACAATACAGTTTCTTAGGGGAGAATTTAGAACATCTTGTTACATATTTTTATGTTTCCTCCTCCTCCTCCTTCCCCTTCACTTCCCTTCAGAAAAGGACCACTTCTCAAATACTACATAATCACACCCAGAGTTGCCCAATTAAGAGTTTCTAAGCAAGAGGAAAAGGGCATGTTTCCAGAATTGCTTATTCCAGAAGCTATAGCAAACCTATCACTGTGGACCAATGTGAGGATAGAATGATGGACATGAGTTTCCATTGTTGAGATCACCACCTATAGCCAGGCGGTGCCTTGTGTTTTACAGATATTGAGACTTTTTCACCTTGGGTCCTTGGGTCCAACTGTTAGACAGGCAATATGTGATGAAGGGTTAGGATGGCATGACATGGATTCTTCTTCACTGAGCCAGTAAGTGTATTTTAAGTAGAGCTTCCTTGCTCTAGCTGGTGGGCATTAGCAAGAAGAAAAACACATGTTTCCAGATTTGCGTATTCCAGAAGACCCATACTTTGACTTGCTTTGACCCTGGAATTTCCCCTTTGTCTTTGACAGGAGACAGTAGAGTAAACTATTGACTTAACCCTTGGCAGTTAGGGTTCAAATCTCCACTTGGCCATGGAGTAATTGACTCATCTTTGGGACAGTCATATTCTTAACCTGATCTAGAGTTGTTGTGAGCATAAAGTTGAGAGGAGAGCCATGCAAGCTATGTGACAAACCCAGACCTACTGGGATATGCCACCGTTTCACTAAGCTGCCACCAACCATTCCCCTAGAGTTGTTGTGAGCATAAAGTTGAAAGGAGAGCCATGCAAACTACCTTACACAAACAAGGAAAGGCAGGATGTAAGTGTGACAAATAATAAATACTAATTTGTAATGCAATGGTTTAGTTATGCATCCAATACTTCTGCGAGGCAACAACTTAGGAAAGGCTGTTCTGTCACCAGATACTTGCTTATCCCTTTGGAGGGCTCTTCCCTGCCCTTTGAAGAATCCCAGAAAAACTAGCACAATGCAAGCTGGTAAGGTTGGGTTGCTTTTGTCCCAAGCATGGGAAAGCTAATTTTTTAGGCTACGGTTCTCAAATGTAGCCAAAAACTCTAATAATACAATGTTTCCAAGCTGTTCATGGAAGCTATAGTTAGAAATATTTGAACCTTAGGAAGACCATTAAGAAGAAATGTTTTGGATTAGCCCAAAGGTACTTTAGCCTAGCAGCTTGTTTCCAGGAGAGGCCGGTCAGATGTCCACAAGAAGTGCATAAGCAGGCTGTGATGAATAATAGTCCTCCCCCAGGTGTTACTCTTAGCAAGTGGCATGCAGAGAGTGTGCCTCATTTCCAGCAAAATCCAGTGTGATTTCTGATCAGGTGCCCAAGTAAAAGAAAAAAAAATCCTCTTCCTTCCCCACATACTTTTACTAATACTGCTAAACCCACAAAGGCACGCAATTGCTCCTTCTCTGATTCACCTTGTGGGAATGGGCATCCTTTCGGGTACTGTTTATTGTTGACTTTGTAGTCGTGGTGTTCCAACCCCCCCCCCCCCCCTTTTTTGATAATCCTCAGTCTTGTTTTTTTTTTTGACTGGGCTTTTAATGGCTGAGCATGCATGTACGTAGCTGGGAGGAATGTACAACTAACTAAATAAATGAAATGGATGATGATACTCAGCGTGCGGGGGAGAGGGCAGAAAGAATGACTCAGGAGAAGGGAATGTATACTGGCGATGCCAGTTTCCTGAATTTTGGATTACTTTCCAGAGGTTTGCATTCCACTTATAGCGTCATGTAGACAGCTGGTGATCGGCGAAAGAGCTGACTAATGCTAGAATTTGTTATGACCATGATAGGGTGAATGCCGTCACCCAAGAGGCTTGCCTCTTGGTGCTACTTCTTGGTACGAAGCTAAAGAGATGCCCTTGTGTGTTCAAGCTTCTGGCAGTTCAGTACTTCCAACCTTTCATCCTCATGAACGAATGCTGTGGATTTCTGCCTCTCAGGTTTGACAACTAGAGAAGAGTTTGGCTTGATTCCTGAGACTCCGTTGCTGTGCCATTTTTCAGCAGAGCGGGCATGAGAAGTTTACAACCAGCTCTGCTATGAGCAAGCGAGTTCTGCCAAACAAAATGCCACCGGAGTTTCGTAACATGTGTGTCCTTCTGCCAAACCGAGACCAACTCAGTGTGACTGTCAGGGTAAGTAGGTTTAAACTTCCATCGGAGAGCTCAGACTGTACACGAGAGAGAGAGAGAGAGAGAGAGAGAGAGAGATCGGCTCTATTGTGTTCAGATAGCCAATGTAAATCAGGCTTCTGAAGTCTTGACTGTTGAGAGACTCCCCACACACACACAATTATCCAATAACTGACACTTTTGATCGATTAGCCCTCTACAGAAAAAGACCAGACTAGGTGATAAATCTGTTTTCTGGAGTGTGCTGATTCTTGTTGCATTTGACAGCACACACATGTTTTCTGACTTCCTTTTTGAGTTTCATGATTTTATAGCATTTGAAAACAAACGTCCTTTTGTGTTAAATAATATGAACAAAAGATGCACATCTGTCTTTAGATCTCGCCCGGTTATTGTTTACTTGTCTGCTAACCCAGACATTTAGGCTTGCTAATTTTCCAACAGGAGGGACTTTGTGGAGTCATATTTTACATAGTTTGTCTCTGTATATAGCTCAGAGCAAATTCAAATGATACGTTGTGCAGAATCTCCCTAAAACAAACTGGAAAGGTAAAAGGTAGTCTGAAAATTAAAGGCAGACAATACCTCATTGTCGCTGATGGTTCTTAATACACTAAAGATATTTGTGGGAGCTGGTTTCTATATTTTTACCAAAATATAGAAACCGGCTTTTAATTATTGCTGTATCAGTGAAGAAGAAGAAAATTTTATCACTGGTGGCAGATTTGTCTGAGGGTCTGCGTTTTTAAAAGATGCAGCTTGCATCAGCAAGCTCCTTAGCTCCGTGCACAGACCTGTCTGTTTTCCCTTTCTTCCATTCTCCCAATAAAGCAAGAGGGAGAAAAATGGGAAAGATTATTAAAAGTCCCGTGCTGTTGACAGGTACAAAGTTATGGAGCACTTGAAAGACATGTCTAGAGGGAAATGCACAGAGCTTGCGTGTGTTCAAAGCAAACTGTCAAAGGGGATTTATTATGTTTTCCCACTCAGTTTTTCAGTAAAATGGCCCTTCTGACAGGCTTCCTTAAAAGCAACATAAGCTGCCAAGGGAATATGTTACTTAGGATCTAATTCCATTGCCTTCTGCTCTTTACAGCATTTGTGCAACTGTGCCTTTTTGTTTTGATAAATTTTGCTATGCTTCTATGTGCAAGACAGACAGTGCTGTTTTTCCCCCCTCCCTCCTTGATATTTTTTGCACTCAGGCCACTTTGAGAGACCTAATTTATTGCAGTGCTCTTGTCTGTTGTCTCCTCTTTGTGTTCTGTTGCTATCCTCCCCATTGTTTTTCTTTCACTGTCTAACTTTAGATTGTAAACTTCTTGGTGCAAGGTCCGTATTATGTACCATGAGCATAGATCAGAGATAGAGCACATAGCGCTCATGGCTGTGGGACTACAGTTTCTATCATCCCCAACCAACATGGCCAATAACCAAGGATTATGGGAGTTGTAGTACAAAATGACTAGAAAGTAGTAGTTGCTATCTCTGGTGTAGATGGTCTCTTTGACTAATGGAGAGTAATAATAATAGTCTTACAAATAGATTCAGAACATAAAATCTTTTTTCCTCTTATTGACAATCTTTGGAAAATATAAAAACAATAAAAGGCTTTAAGACAAAGACCTATAACCTAAGTATTCATACAATCACATAGATAACAGTACATTTGTCTCTGTGACTAATACAATCCATTCGTACAGTCCATTAACTCATGCATTCTAACAGACTTAAAAGATAGCACATGAGTAATCCGGTCAACTTTTCAAAACCTCATCTTCCCCATCTAAATCCAAACCAAAAAAACCAACAAAGGGCACCAAACCTTAGTGAAATTATCTTCTTTTATTTCTCTTAATTAGTCTAAAGATTCAGAACATACAACCGATTGGCCTATCTCTTGGTCCTGGTTATACTTACTAAACCTCTAAATAGGTGATGAGGATGTTTTTAAGACCAGGTTCCATATGGATCCCAGCAGTGAACTGATTGGGGAAAGCCAGATGGTCAGTGAGAAAATAGTTAGAGGGAATTTCTGAAGCCAGTATGGCAGTCTTTGAGTCAAATATGGGCAGATGTGGCCCTCTGGATAATTTTGATATGCAGCTTCCACCTAATATAGGCAGGCACAGCATAGCCCATGAAAAGGGACTATGGGAGGGGATGTCCAAGAAAATCTGGAGAGGCACAATTGGCTCCCTCTGATGAGCAGTGTGTGTTGACCATAAGATCAGGTCCTGATTTGACGACTAAGAAATCTGTCTTAATTTTGGTTTGGCTTCTGTTCATTTGGTATTAAAGCCATTTGTATGCTATAGCATACCAGGTTCCCGAGAGTAAAGCACTTTTATTTAAATTCTTATTGTCAGGGAAAAGAATTAACAAGGAATGCTGAACATTGGATCAGGCTTGTGATGTATCATGTCCATGCCTTAAAACAGTGGGAGTGGTGAATCTTAGTAAAAACAATTACTTTGATTGGAAGCTAGAGCTATCAGACACAAAACTCCATGTCTGTGCCTTCCCTTCATCTCATTGAAAGGGCTTTCAATATGAGTTTCCTCATATTAAACTCTTAATTTGGAGAATTAGATATATATATCTATATATATATTCCAAATCAACAACAGGAGGCAAAGCGAATGATGCAGGTATATAATCCCCTCATGTCCATGCCTTAAAACAGTGAGAATTGATTTGGAGTATACATATATCATCCCCTAAATATTTGCATATATATGCAATTAAACTTCACAAGGGATCACTGGATCTCAGATTTTGTCATTCCTGATCAAAGGCCTTAATGACTAGTGATTCTGGGAGGTTTTGTCTGCCAACATCTGGGGATTTGGAACTACAACACTGGGGGAAAATCTGGCCAGATCAGCTTGATTCAGTCCAATATTCATCTGATCCAAGACACCCCATTATTTTTAAACTATTATCTTTGTTTCCCTGCAGTTTATTAGCTCAGCATGGGGTTTGTAAGTTCTTTTGTGAAAGAGAAGTTTACTGTGCAAAGGTAATTCTCACTTTTTATGGTGAGCTTCTGGATTCAGAAAGCTTGTGGCGTAGAGGTTGCCACAGTAAAGGCGTCATGTAAGTCTGCTTCCATGTGCCGGCTGCTTTGTATCTAGTGGTATGTTCACCTGTGGTGTTGCAGGGGCCACACCAATCCCTTCAGGTGGAGGCATAAGTGACTAGAAGGTCTCTTCCAGTTTTGAAAAAGAAGAGGATTCTTTTTTGGAGAGGAGAGTTTTTTAACAAAGCAAACAACGAGGGGGGATGAGTTATTTTAAAAGAGAACCATGCTTCCTGGAAGTAAAATTCTCCCATGTTTCTTGATTACTCGCTTGCTTGGTTGTTCTTAAAACAAAAAAAAAAAAAAAAAAAAAA